ACTGTTGGTGAGTTTCGATGTACAATCCATGTACACAAACATCTCAGGCGAGAAGGCGGTAAGCGCCTTGATGGAGATGCTGGAGCGAGAAGAGGACATCCTGGATGCAGAACGGATACGGAAAGAGTCGTTAACACGAACAATCAACTTGACAGTTATGACAACATATTTCACATTTAACGACATTATCTATGAGCAAATATTTGGACTACCCGTTGGGATCACCACTATCGCCTTTTTTGGCTAATGTATACATGGACAAGTTGGAAAGGGAATTCGAGAAGTCACCGCTGCAACTGCCTCTTTTGGCAAATGTGTACATGTGCAAGTTGGAAAAAGCATTCGAGAAATCACCACAGCAACCAAGAGTGCTCATGTGATATTTGGATGACAACTTTGCAGTTTTGTCACATGGTAAGGAAAATCCAAAGGAATTCCTTAATTTCATTAACCAACTTGATGAAAGAATTAAATTCACAATGGAAGTGGAGGAGGATGATCGGCTACACTTTCTGGTTCTTCAAGTCATACGCTCCAGAGGGACACTCATGAGGAGACTATACAGAAAGAATTCATATGCGAGAATAATCCTTAATTTCCATTTCACGATAACTAAAGACTGAAGATAGGAATACTGAGGAGTTTGATCATCAGGAGATTACGACTATCGGACAATGAGTTCTGGGACGAGGAGTTGGACAAACTGACACGGATTTGATTGAGTAACTTTTACCCCATACAATTTATAGATAATAAATGTAAAGATTCTAAATGTCAGATTTCAATTCTGATTTTGTGTGAATCAGATGAGGAATCAGGATAACAACCAAAAGTGGAATTGCTTGCCCTCATCAAAACGGAGTCAACAATTGCGACCGTTATTAGGAAAATGGAATATCACGGTGATAACAAAGGAGAAGGAAACGCTTTTCACCAGTCTGCCAACACAACACAAGAAGACGGATAAACTTGAGTGTTCTGGAGTTTATCGCATCAAATGCGGCAACTGTGAGCAGTAGTATATCGATGCGACGGGAAGAAAAATCGGCTTACGAATCAAGGAACATCAAAGACTCTGCAGGAACATGGATATGGAAAAATTTAAAGTAGAGGAAGACATTGCAAGAACGGGACACGAGATCGACTTGAAATCGACAGAAAGGTTGGCTGCATGTGGTGTAGATACAAGAAAACGCAACATCCGAGAGGCTATCGAAATACTGACCGAGAGAGATCTAATGAACAGGAGACTTGAAGAATGTAGGATTAGCGAAAACTTTGCATATTGCATAACAAACTCAGAGAAGACGAGGCAACAGTAGGATCAAGAAGATGAAGACGACTGGATCAAGGAAAAATCCTTAATTTTATGAGAAAAAATCACAGTTGGACCAGAAAGGAACAATCAGAAGCCAAGAGAAGACGTCTTCAGTGAGCCCAACCAAAACAAGTACAACTCCGACAATTGTGGGTCGGCATACAAGCGACTAGAACATAGGAAGTAATAGACAGGTTGTTATAGATAGAAACAGGAAAGACGATGTGGGGACTAAAGCTATTTGCCTAACAATAGACGTGCTTGATCACATGATACACACGATGGAGACCATAGCTAGTTTACCAACCAGGGACGCGTTGGACGTCTCTTTTTACTCAACTAGCTATAGCCTCCCCCGTATCTATCCTGTTACTATCCGTAATACCAATTTTATGACTTACTACGACCTATACTCTTGTGTGTCAACCCACAAACGTGGTGGTTCAACATCGAACCTAATCAAAGCAAACAGTATCACAGCATTTGTGGGTTGGCACACAAAAGAATAGGGCAGTGAATCCCAAACTGTGTAGAGGGGCGCTGGGAAATATTGTAAAAGCTTCAATTTGAGAAAATGTGCAATGATTTGCAGGCTCATCCACCACATAAATAATTAAATATTAATTTAATGTTAATAAAGTGAAAAAAAATAATGAAGATACACGAGTTTTATTTATTTTTATCTCTTAGTTACCAATAGTCATACTTAGGGTAGGGCGCCAAGGAAAAATTTTAATTAAAAAAGGGCGCCGCGACTAGGAAAAGTTTGCGAACCACTGGACTAGAGCATGGTACATGGTACAAGTACCAGCACAAGATTGAAGGGGGTGAGAACGCCAGCGTGGAGTGTGAAGGGTTTTCATGAATGCCGCTCGAAGGAGCACACGACACCACATCGAAATAAGCACGGTACAAATTGTAACAATGAAGGTGTGATTGGAGGATATAGGAAATGTGAATAGGCCAGGCCAGAAGAAGGGATACCACAACGGTTTAGCACACGTTTGATCAAAGGATCGGCTTCATTTGTCTCTTCGACGAGTTGTTGTGTGGTGCTAAGAATAGCGAGATTCACTGACGATGTTGGTGAAACGCTTGGGAATGTACCACGTCCACGGTTCGACTTTGGTAATGATCATGCAGACAATTGACTCCGGACTAGATACGTTCCTATAAGTCTTCCTACCAATAGGACCAAGTTGCTCTATTATTGTGTCGCCATATGGCGAAGTAGTCATTCATGTATCTGACTAACAGTTTTGATGTTAAACTTACCTCTTTCATAAAGTGTTCCTCGATTCTAGACGGGTTATTATTAGTTAAACTTAGAGCCAAGCAGAATCCCATTGCTAGGCCTTGCACCTGTTCATAAACCTTATTTTTAAAGAAGTGGGTTGACCTCGTTGTCGCAACTTGGTCTTGTGTTCAGGGAGACTATGTAGAACG